CGCTAACTAAAGGATTACCACCCAAAGTGTTTCATGAGCATGTTGCTCAAATGGGTGTCAAATAAGTTGAGGATTATGAGTTTTAGTGGGAGTTTGTAATGTTTCTATGTTTGGTTAACTCAAGTTTTAATGTTATTTTCTGCAGAAATAAAGTTTAAAGTTTTATGTACTCTTACAGTTATATTATTGATCTCAAGGTGGACCAGTTGGAAATAGACATTCTATTCGAGACTACACTTTATGTTATTTCCACGCTACACACCTATACTTGATCCATGTCGTTTATTATATTAATATATGTGATCATTGATGGGTCTAGTTATTCAAATATAACAAAGACTTCTTTGGTCCTATGTGGATATAATTAATGGACCGGATTGATTAAGGATGACTACAGTTTGATAGCAAAATTTTGGAGCTCCTAAAGTAAACATACAATGCTAAGGATTGTGTATACATGTGTATGTCGTCCAAGTGGGAGATTGTTAGATTATTGGACTTATACTACATGTAATATTCACAGTATATTATTTATCGGGTTTAATTGTATGTTATATGCTATCTTATATTTAGGCCCAAAAATTAGTGGTCCTATGGATATTAATTTAAGTGGGCTAATAAGTTATCTAATAAGGTATAGGGCCCAAATGTGTAGAGACCCATGGGCTTGACCTAATCAATGATGGGCTGATTAGGGTTAAGTACTCTCTATAAATAAAGGGTTATGGTCCCTAGTTGTACACGTCATTCCGTCTTTGTGCATCCCATCGCTAGAGAGATAATCCCGAGGGTGTGTATCAGCTAGAAGAAGCAAACCCTAGCCACCGTCTCCCGGATCCCTAAAGATCATCTCCCATGGAGTCAGGTACGCTTCCGCTCAGTTAATTCTCTAGATAATTTCAATATGAAGATTAAAGTATTCATGGATTTATTCCAACACCTAATGGATTGAAACTACCTTTTAAGTCCAAAATTGATATTAGACTTAACTTTCGGGTCCGATAAATTCCTAAAATAAATCCGCAATGTTACAAAAATTAGCCTCGATTGGACATAACTTGTTCCGAAAGGTGGAATCTCCCACCCCAGGAGCCCCCCACTTGACCCGACAGGATGGTGGGGAGGTTAATCACGGTGACTCAGTCAGCAAAACGGCGGTAGGCCTTATACACGTTTGCACCAGAGGTCCAACCTTATTTCAGGTTCTGTAACCTCCACACGGCCGCTGCGGGTTTCGAACCTTAATCACTTGGTCCAATTTTCCTACCACTCGACCAACTGAGCTACCCGTGCAGGTTCAATTGGACATAACGAGCTCGTTTGGTGATACCAAATTGGTTGTATTGTCTGATTCTGCTGAAATTTATGAAATTCTGACTGAAGTGGCTGTATCGGTTGATTCTGCTGATGTATGAAAAAATTGTAAATGCCTTTAATATATTTTATTAATAAAATAAATAAAAAAAATATATGAAAAATAGTTAAAATGATCATTTACGTTAAGAGCTACCATATTGCTCTATATACAAGGGACATCGCTCAAATTAAACTTACAAACTTGAGAAGTATCTTCTTATTTAAAAGTATAATCAAAACATATTTGACGATGTAATGCAAACCTAATAAGGAAATAAGGATTAAGGAAGAAATGAGACATAAAATTGACTTTTTCTGATAGTGTACCGTATTAAAGGAATAAAGGATCTATTCCTTTCTTTTCAAATAATTATAAAACCGACATGGAACACTTCTTCGATCTAGCTTAGTCTGAAATGGAAGTTTGAAAATTTTGAGTTTTGTTCCTTTCCACATTGGCTTTCTGCCCGACATCCAGCTAGTAAATTCATGAGGCCTAATATAAATTCATTTAGTTCCCTTTATTTATTATGTATGTATGATTATGCAATTATTAGTTCTACACCACATTCACACAAATGTTTATTTTATTTTTAACATGTCGGTGCACACGTATAATTAGTTGAAAAATGGGTGGTATACACAAAATGTGTATACCTTTTGTGTACACTCGTCTGTCCAGACAAATTGTCTATCCACAGACAATTCTGTACAATTATCTGTGGATAGACAACTTTTCTGCTGGGGAGAGACGAGTGTACACAAAAATTGTACACATTTTGTGTACACCAAGCAAAACCCTAATTAGTTTGTGTGGAATTAATTAGTAACAAGTTTGTGTCGATCACTGTGAACAAAATCTTAGCAGCATGAAAATAACAAAACAGAGTATACATTTATAATCCATTTATAATATATTCGCTTAGTGACACAAAATGCCGTCATATTGATTTTTTGATAGTTATAACATATTGATTTTGTTAGATAAACATTTTCAATTATGATAAATTTATAAATTTAATTAATTTTAAAGTGTAATAAAAAGGACTGAATCTGAACAAATTAATAAAAAAGAAGAGAAGATCAGAGAGAATGTTGCTAAGTAAAAAAGTTTTAATGGAATAGTTTATTTGTGAAAATAAGTCAAATTCTAAATGTGCTCCTCAAGATGGGAACTCATAAAAGAACAATGATTTAGCTACTGAAAATGAAAAGGTTCAGAATGATTAATCATTGGAGGGAGACATTTAGGAGTTGATAACAATAGAGTTAATTTCTTAAATATGTCTTAAACATTGATAAAGTGTACAAATATAACCATTTGATAGAGTATATAGACTCGGACCCCCGGGTCTCACGACTATTGGACCCTGACAGCGACCCACACACGCTTATCGGACGTCATTTATATCATTTGTATTATGGTAGAGTCATATATCATTTGTATGTGCTATATTAGCCTTTTATGTAGTTGGGCCTATCGGGCCCATATTAGCGGTCCGGTCCATTATTTCTCTATTTATACTCCTTTTGGAGTTTGTAACCCTAGAACACAATTCTTAACTCTCAATTATATATTCACACATTACTATTCATTCATCTTCTTCCTCACATTAGTTCAAATCTCTCCATTTTATTATAGTTTGGATATCCCTATAATCCATCACCATTATTGTTACCTTCCTAAATAAAGATCACTAATACTCTAACACTACAAAAAAACATGAGATTGAAACGGAATTTGGCATGGATTTACCGATTTTTCGTGCCAAATTGTTCATGCCAAAGTATTTTTGGCACGAATTTGGCATATCCCTGCCAAAATTCCTGTGAATCCCATATTTTTTTGGTAGTGTAATATGATTGCTTAGACATAATATCGTTTTACAATTATTTATGAATATATTGAAATACTACTCCCTCCGTCCCTAAATTATCTTCAAACTTTCCTTTTTCGTCCGTCTCAAAATTATCTCCTCTTCCTCCTTTTAGCAAAAAATTTGTGGTTCACAACCATTCTTACACATTTCTCTCTCCTCTGCACAACTCTCCACCACACAAATCCCACTATCTTAATAAATGTGCCCAGCCGAAAAGGGAGAAAGATTAGGGACGGAGGGAGTATTATTATTATATGCATGTCAATTTAGATAGAATAGGGTTCTATAATTTTTTACCATGTACTTCGTATAACATTAGGCCCATTTTAATTCTACACCTCTAGACCTTCAAACATACTCCGTACATGACCGGCCCCGAGTTCACCTCATCACCTCTTCTAAGAATTAATGGAGTATGTATTATATTCCCTCCGTCCCTAATAACTTTACCAAGTTTTACAGGCACGTAGATTAATAAAGTAAAAACTGTGTGGTTGAGGTTGTGCAGAAGAGAAAGAATTAACTGGAATCACAAATTCTTTACTTCAAAGGGAAAGTGACAAAGTTAATAGGACATCCAAAAAGGAAAGTTAGCCAAATTATAAAGGACAAGTATAAGTCTAGTCACGGTTAATATATTCTTGTCTCGTTTCACTTATTTTAATTTGATCTATTTTTAAAATTGAAACAAGTTAGTTTACAAACATCCTAAAAAGCGTACTTGAACCATATTTATATAACAAGTACGGAGTACTTGTTATACGGAGTCTTATATCGATATATGTGTGTGTAGTACACAACGCGTTGATCTGATAGACGGTCTGAACTCTCTTTATTCCACCAACATGATCACACCTTCAACATACTCGTATTTGTCTTTTTACGCCGTATTAAATGTGGGACTTCCTCTATCCCTTAAAATTTTGTTAAGTTTGACTTTTAAAAGAATTAATAAAATAAAAATTGTGTGATAGAGATTTGTGCATAGGAGAGAGAATTAACTGCAACCACAAATTTTTTATTCAAAAGGGAAAGTGACAAAGTTAATGTAACATTCAAAAAAGGAAAGTTAACATCCAGAAATGATTTCTAAATCGTTAAGTTTATTCAGAAAATGAGTTCTACGCATGATTAATTAAAACACAAGGGAATTTGACGCATTTTTCAAATCAAAACTAATGCTCTCAATTTCTTTACGAAACCTTCAAATTTTGACGCGGAATAGGGAATGGAGTACGGAGTAACTTTTAAGCGATCCAATATGTGTATTTTGGGATGGTGAGAAATAACTGAGTCGATCTCGGGTGGAAGGTTACCGTGTCCTAGCGGAGGTCTCGGGTTCGAATCCCGCTAGACACATTTAGGGGAAAAGAGAGAGGTCTTGCTCCCAATGATTCTTTCTACCTTCACGGAGTTGCTCAGCGGCTGAGAAGGGAGAGGATGGTAATGAAGGTAGCGGGTTCGTGTGGTGGGAAGAGCAGCCTGAAAGGTGATGTAAGTCCTGCTGGATTCGTCCTTTGGAACCAGTACTGACGAGGCTGACTGTGATCAGATCCTGACTTAACTGTCTAGGAGCTTTGGAGGGTAGTTCATAGACTCCAGGATTATGTGAGCGTAAGCACGAAAAAAAAAGAGAAATAAGTGAGATGCTAAATACTATCGTAAGCAAGAATCTAATAGAGCTAGAATATTACTACGTATTATTTTAATTCCTCCCACCAAAACAACTGCGCATAAATTCCAAGATTTCGATCGCTACCTCCGCATTTAAACTAACCTGGCTAGGCTAATTAATTGAGCTTCACCGGCCACATGAAGAACGGCGGCAGGCCGGCGATTCAAGAATTGCTCTTCTTCTTCCTCGTATTCTTCTCTCCGCCATTGGTTGCTGGTGTTTTTATTCCGTCCCCGCCTACGATGTCGGGCAGATTTCGGGAAGCACCGGAGTATTATAACTCACCGGAATGCCACTCCATTTTGGATGACAGTGACGACTACATATGCTCCGGCGACGCCGCCGTCCACGTGGCGATGACCCTTGACGCCGCCTACATCCGCGGATCAATGGCGGCCGTTCTCTCCATCCTTCAACACTCTTCCTGTCCCCAGAGCGTCGACTTCCACTTCGTGACCTCCGCCTCCGCCGACGCGCAGCTCCTACGCGCCACCATTGTCGCGTCGTTCCCGTACCTCCGGTTCAGAGTTTACCGGTTCGACGACTCGTTCGTCGCCGGATTGATCTCCACCTCCATCCGCTCCGCCCTGGACTGCCCCCTGAACTACGCTAGGAGCTATTTGGCGCAAATACTGCCGCTCTGCGTCGGGAAAGTGGTGTACCTCGACTCCGACCTTGTCGTCGTTGACGACATCGCCAAGCTCGCCGCCACGCCGCTCGGTGAAAACAGAGTACTCGCCGCGCCAGAGTACTGCAACGCGAATTTCACGGCGTACTTCACCCCGACTTTCTGGTCAAACCCATCGCTTTCCTCGGCTTTTTCCGATCGGAGACCCTGCTACTTCAACACCGGCGTGATGGTGATCGATCTTGACCGGTGGAGAAGGGGGGAGTTCACGACCAAGATCGAAGAATGGATGGAGTTGCAGAAGAGGATGCGGATATACGAGCTGGGGTCTCTGCCGCCGTTCTTGCTGGTCTTCGCCGGGGAAATAGCGCCGGTGGATCACCGATGGAATCAGCACGGCCTTGGAGGGGACAACTTCCGGGGACTGTGCAGAGATCTGCATCCCGGTCCGGTGAGCCTCTTGCATTGGAGTGGGAAAGGGAAGCCATGGGTGAGGTTGGATGCGAGCAGACCCTGCCCTTTGGATGCCCTGTGGGCCCCTTATGATCTCCTACGGCCGGCATTTTCTTTGGAATCTTGATCCAATCCAGTGTTCTGGGAATTCTGGAACGATATACTACGTAGTATATTCGTGCAGCTGGATCGGGGCATGAAGATTCCACTCCGATACCACGCCCCCGCAAGCTGCCGGAGATTCCAGCAATTGTGATGTTAAGATGAAGAGGGATGGCATTAATCATACTACGCATTAATCATTTGTTATATTAAGGTGAAAATGATCGGTAAAATTCCTAAGTATTTTTTTTTGAAATTTTAAAATAAAACTAACAGGTTTTTATTACCTAAATAAGACTAACTTATGCGAAGTTTAACATTATCACGTTTTAAACATGGTAGTTTTTTCAAACTTAGTTGGAATTACTCATATTTAGGGAATGAAAACACGAAAGCCCTATTTTAAAATTTAAAAATATATTTATTTCTATTCTGGACAATTTCTGAATGATTAATACTTTTTGGGATTCCTCTTTGTGAATTCCTGTTTGTTAAGATCATTTTAGTAATCACAAATGGATTTTAGTAATAGCAAATGTATTTTAGTTTAGATCACAGATTTATAATTGTATACTCTCTAGTCTGTACACCCCAACAAGTTGTACGTAGTACAAATTAATTTGTTCAAAATAAGATTTAAAAGGCGTGCTTTCTTTTTCCATGTATATGACTATTCAAATTAGTATATTTAATTGAAATTTACATATTTAAATTAGTCATATTGAATCCCATAAAATACAATATTTCTATCACAATAAAGAAAAATGTCCCAAAGAGGAGTAAAATAAAGGGAAAGTGCAAAAAAGATCTAATTACAGAGTATATTTTATTCCCCAAAGAGAATACATCTAGTCTTATCAAAAGAATAAAACAAAAAAAATCTCCCTAAAGAGGAGCAAAACAACCTTATTTTTGAAAGAAAACAGTGACATTCTTGTTTATGAAAATACCTTATATTGGATCAAAGAATAAAATAACACTCTTTTATTGCAATTTTTGATGGAGTGAAATTCTCGGATGCACCATAATTTAAAAATCATAGAGGAATTTAGCTAAATTTGATTAACACATTTATAGATTTCTAACAAACTTAAACATGAGTTTATATGAGTAAAAATTGAATTAAGAGAGAAAAAATATGATCAAAACACATATCATACATATAAATCACCATTTGTTTATAACTAAGAAAAACTATTTAACCATGTTTTAGAAATCATTACCTCTTTTGGCATGGTCATATTCCTAGTACTTTTCTCAAAATAATACTGTTATATTGAAAACTCATCTCTAAATTTTGTATGTCAACTTTTTATGGTACCATGGGAAGTACATGGATAAAGAAAATTACAATGACCTAATTTTGTCAAGGAGAAAAATATAATTAAGCCTTATATAACTATAAGAATCTCAATCTTGATGATGTTTGTAATTGAATTTATTACTCTTGATCACGACAAATTTAAATACATTAGATCGGACCAGACTTCGATGACAACAAAATTCACTCCTAGCATTTTCTTAAATAGACTACTAGTATTTTTACCCATGTCGCGCAAGGGATAAAAGCATATTCAAATTTTCCGGCACGGGTAAACATATCTTACCTTAATTTTGAAATATTGACTTATATAGTTAAATAAACTCATTGCATAAATTCATAAATAAGAAAATCATATTCATGACTTTGAAATGATTTTAATTTTTTTTCTCAATTAGATCATAATCTTGGAATTATATTTTGAGATTAACTGTATCATTTCTATAGTCTCTTTTTGTATTTTAGTACCAAATCATGTGTCATGATTTCGTTTTTTGGCGACCGTACAAATTTACTCATGAATTATTTAAAATATAAATAATTAACTTCATAATAAGCTAATTTAATTATACATTATCTCACTTCTGTTTGTATTAAAATGGGCGGATCTTCATAGGGGCTGAGGTGGGATCTAGCCCAACACAGCCCCATTTTTTATAATTATAGGTATATGTTTATAAAAATTGGTGTTCAGCCTAGCCCAAAAAATTCAAAATCTCAATTAATTGAAAGTCTTAAAGATTAATTTAAAAATAATTTTAAGCCTTGTAATTTTTAGTTCATCATAATTTCATATGCAATTGAAGATTAGAGAATAATTTTAAATACAAAAGTTTAATGTGTTAATGATCAAATATTATATATACTACCTTTGTCCCAAATAGATTTGTAAAGTCAAATATTTGGTCAATCAGTTTCATTTTATTCACATAATTAGGATATGAATATTTAATTATATTCTAGTTTGAATTGCGCAATTTTATAGAGATTTGAATGTAGTTTTCAAATATCTAAATATTAATTACTAAGAAGTGAGTTAATTATCAATAGGTAGGATTTAACTTTACTATTGGTTGACAAAAAATATTGACTTTGCAAATTAAATCAGTTTGGGACGGAGAGAGTATGAAATTACCATTAGCATGTTACATCAAAACAATGAAATGAATATTAACCTATTACAAAATGGAGCTTGATTTTGCCTCGGGGATCGATAGATTTTTAGTCATCGATTTGAGTGCTCGATAAACACGTTTGAATGTAGAAGCTTTGACCATGTTCATTGATAGATTAATGTTCAAATTGTTCAATAAATACTCAAATCCTTAATAAGCATTAATAAATTTATAAAATTATGTTAAGAACATTGATAAGTGAATATATTCAAACTTAGCTTGAATAACTATTCAAACTCAAAATCTAGCCCGTATTCGAGTTCGAAGCTCGTTAAGCTCGAGTCATTAAATTGGATTCGAAATCAAGATTGAATTTGAGTAGTTCGAAAAAAGTTCGATTCCTTAACAATCTTAAGCTAAGCCGTGTAGTAGCATTTGTTTACTGTTTAGCCCACCCCACTTATCATTTCTCGATCCGTTCTGCTTGTATAATGATTGACTCCATAGTGAGCGAACTAACTCCAAAATTTACCCATGAATATTTTGAGGAGATTTATTGAATTCCAATTTAATTTGGAGTTCTAAATTTTAAGGATGTTGGGATTATTTTATGGTGTTCAATCTAGATTAAATATCTTTGTATTTGTGTGTAATTATGTAGTTATTATTTAGATGTGTAATATGGGTCACAAATGTGTATCAGCCCATTAGTTCATTTGTAACCCGTAAGTTAGCCATCCTCACCTATAAAAGGAGACTAACTTATGGAAACCCTAAGGATTCGAGGCCTGAGAGTGTGTAGAGGCGAGATAGAGAGATTAGGTTTCTGCTGCTCTCTCTATAGGGAGAGCAGCGGGGTTTATCACGGTATACCAATATTGGTTTCATCTCAATATCTTTCTATCTGCTTCTTCTTTACCTGTTGATAGAGTATATATCTAGAGAGAAGTGAGAGCTAGAGAGAGAAGTGCAAGTAAATGCCTCAATAAATGATTTTGTGAACCCCTACAACTACTCCAGAGGTAGTATTTATAGGGAAAATACGGGATGGGCTCCCAAGCCTTGAGCTTGGGAGGCCCATTTACAACTGGACCGCTATTGGGCTGAATACAATGTGTGTAGAAATGATTAAGTGTAAAATCTAGTTCTGGGGCCGCTCGCGGCCGATGAGGGCATGGCCGACGAGGGCACGGCCGACGAGGACCCGGGCGACGAGGTCACCCGGTTCTCCTGGCTCCTGAACCGTATTCTGAGTAGACTGCTTCCTGGCCGATGGAGGTCACCTGGCCGACGAGGGTCCCACCGGGTGATCGTGGTACCTTCTGTTCTTCCGAGTATGTGGGCCATGGGGTCCAGGCCCATATACTCCATCAGGAGTCCCCCACTCTCTGAGCTGAGACGTAGACGAGGCGAGGGAGAGTAGATTTCTTGCTTCTGACGTTTTCTAGCCATTGTGGGACCCTTTCTTGTTCTTAGCCGTTACGGGCACCTTTTGACCCGGTTCCTTGTTTTATGGCCGTTGTGGGCACTCACCGTCTTGGTCGCTGTATGGCTTTCGCCGTAGATGAAGAGGGACCCAGTCATGGTGTGTATTTTCTATTTAGGGGCGTCGAGTGTCTCTGCTTGGTGGGGACGATGAGCGCCCTTTGTCATGAATGGCCGATGAAGGTCATGCCCACTCCTGACAGTTGGTGGCTGATCCTCGCCCTTTTGGGCCGAGGATGCCCTTGTGGTTATCTCCTGTTCGGGGATGATGAGTGTCCTTTTGTTTCCGGGTGGCCGGTGAGGGTGCGGTTTGCTTCTTTTAGCCGTTGACTGCGTTCTGTGTTTTTTGGGCGAAGTGGTGATGTCCGTAGTCTGGCGTTCACGCTTTTGAGGACGATAACGGCACTGATCCGGGGGAGTGGTGTGTGTCCTGGTCTTATGGACGATGGTGATTCAGGTACGTTAACTTCCTGTTCTTTGATTCCTGGCCGAGAGTGGAGTATGTGGTCTCAAAGCCGATAAGTGCCCTGTGATCTCAAGTGTTGCACTTTTGGAGGGAATTCTTTGTTCGCTTGCTTTGCTGCGGCCGATGGTGCACCACGATGTTATGGACGTTGTGGTGCATGTCTGATGTTGTAGTTGTGGACTTAGTATTTTTTTTTTGGATTTCTTTGATTTTGTCCTGATTTGCAAAGGCCGATGTAGTCCCCCAGTCCCCCACTGCTTCAGGCCGAAGAGTAGGTGAGGGGTGAAGGAGTAAAGGATTTGCCTAGACCGAAGCGGACTCTTGTGTACACCTGAATCCAATTCCTTGGCGATTTCTTGACCAAGGTAACCCTGTGGGAGAACCCTTGGACGCAGGTCACTTTCAAGAAATTATCATCAGGGTTTTACACAGGGCCGATGGCGTGGGGTTTAATGTTGCTTTTATCGTTGTGGCCGTTGAAAAGGCCATGCAATTGGCATTCTATTCAAGCCGATATGGACATGCCTTGAGATGTGACCTACCCTTTTGAAGTGTCTTTGTGTTGAGGCCGATGCAGGCACGATTTCCTTGCGTGGCCGTTGAGTGGTTGGCCTGTTGGCAATGAGCTGGTATTGTTGAAGTGGGCCTGGCCCGTCTTCTAAACCGGTGCCAGTCCAATGGGCCTTGGGGGTGGTGGCCGTTCATGTGGCCAATGGGAGGTTCCCACGTGTAGTGACCGTTGGGGGGAGGTCTATAAATACCCCCCCCCCCCCCCCTTCCGAAGAGGTTCCTCATTTTCTAGAGAGAGAGCCTTTGCGTGTGTTCTTCCGTTCTTCAAAACTTCAAAGGTTAGTTCGTCGAACTTTTCCCAAATTACTTGTGTACTTTGCTTAGTTTAGCTTTGATCCTCTGTTAGTGGAGAAACACCCTTAGATCCAAAGTATAAACCCTTAGGCTTTAGTTAGTTGTTATGATGAAGCCTTTGAACGACGAGTACTACCCATACGACGATGAGCCCTCTGTTAAGTCTCTTGATTACCGGGTGGTAGAAGAGTGCTGTGAGGAGATAGAGGAGCTGAGCTCCTTCAAATCAGGGGAGAGTGAGGGTGAGGATGAAGAGGCCGCCTCGTCGTCTGATGGTGAGGACGTAGTGGCTTCACGTGCTGTGGACGGGGCGTCTACATCGGCTGCAATTCCTTTCCCGAAGCCGGTTTCTGCTGTAAAGGGAGCTGCTCCGACGAGAAGGTGGCGGTCGAAAAGGGGTCCAGG